TGTTGATTGAGTTCTGCGAAAGCTCTTTTATTAGGAAAATCACCATTTTATTTGGGTTTATTTAGAGAAATAGCCATTAATTTGGGGAAAATTAGGCGTACTCTCATATCGAAGGAATATCCTTTGATATTACGAAAGAGAGAACCAAACTGCATATTAATATTGATTCTTCTATGAAGGAACTCCAAAATAAGTAAAATAATCCTTGAAATATCGGGAACAAATTTCTTCTCAAATTTTGAACTGCTCACACGATTTTTTCCTTTTTTTAAACAGGTGCCATAAGCAATCACCTCAGGTAAATATGTGGAAGCTATTTACGTCATATTCCCAGCTATTATGCTTATTGCAAACAAAGGAGACAGTATAGGAAAACCATGCTGCTAGGCGTATTTAATTTAAGAGCATTTTGCGCCCTTATTTGGACAGGAGAATTACTGTAAATACAAAACTAGAGCTAGATACTGTGTTAAGTCTATAAGTAGCCTAAACACGACAAAGGGCTCTACCTTGCGACATAAAGACATGGTGGAACTTGAGCTACTATCTATTAACATTCCTCTAAGTTTACTACTGTCCGATATAGGTTGCGAATGTATACTAAGTACCGATTTCCTACGCCCATGTACAGGCCGTACTTAAACCTAAATCACGATCGATGTTCTGGCCTGCATTGAAGAAAGCGACTAACGCTCAAATCCCCTCAGTCTCGGTCTTCTTGCCTTCGTCTTGACAGGTAGTTTTGGCTGCAGGCGGTGGGGGTAGGTAGTTAGGTAGAGAGCTATGTCGTCTAAAAATCAGGGGTATGGGCGAACGCGCCAAAAAGTCTGCTACCTAAACCACAGAAAAGAAAGACGTGTTCATAAGTCGGCCTTTCTTAGGCGATGCACCAAGCGAGCTGGTCAGATGACACTTAAAGACTACGATCGCAAGCGCTTTCCCCCACGGCGAACTTACCCGTGTTCTTCACGAACTCTCCCCTCCTGCGACTGGGAGGTAAAGCCCTTCGCCCGTTGAAGGCCACATTCATGTGTATTTACACTTTCACTTGCTCCTGTGGAGCAGGACACATCGGCCGAGCAAGGAGGTGCCTGGACAAGAGGGCATGTGAGCCGGCCTGGTTAAATATAGGTGAAACTGGATCGATTTTGAATTTCATTCTCACACATCTTATCGATACGAATCATCAAGTCGATACTAACAAAGCCTTTCAGGTTGTCCACCGGACGCCAGCTAAATTCTCCAGGGTTCTTATCCAACGGGTGCTTGCAACAGCCGAAGCAGTGGCTATAGAGCTAGCAAATCTAGTGCTGTGTTGTCAGAAGACACTGACGAAATCCCTTTCACTTCAGTGGCCGATTCCCGACGCCAGATGACGATCACATATTGCACCCATCCCCCAGTCGTTCGCTTCGTGCAAATAACAGCAATTATCACTCCACGTACCTGACCCCCGACCAATGCCCACAACTCAATGCAATTTACTCCCCTCCCTCTCCCCCAGCACAAGGACCTCTACATGCCCATCTTACCACGCGGGCGGCGTGAAAACGATGAGTTGTAATCAAAGTACACTAATTAACTCCGTCCAACGGAACGATTTTAAATGTCCCTGCAAATGTATTGGCCTGGAAAAGAGTTGCTAAAAACATATGTATGCCAAATCAAGTCTTCAAATCACTTAAAATTTACCCCTGTGCTCAGCCACCTTCCCTGCACCCACCGGCTTCGCGACATATGCGGGATTTCAGAGAAGTTGATGGTCGAACTATCATCAGGAAGGATACTCACCACAGATTTGTCATTTAGGTAGACAGCAAAGTAGCAGAGGGTGGAGAACTTGTCCGGTTCGTACTCATAACCAAATCGATAGACACCCTCGTCTTGAACGTCCAAATTTCGCAGGATAAGGCGATCGTAGATGACCTGTAGTCGACGCGAATCAATCAGCGGCGCACCGGGGAAATTGTGCCGCTGCAGAGGTGACAGACCGATGGACCTGGTCCAGTAGGGTTTAGCTAGTGGAAAACGGTGTTTCTTCTCAAATATCCGCCCCCGGGACGGGAGGCTGCTCGGACAGTGCAAGCCCACAGGGTCAAAACGATGTGCTGGCGTCTCG